TTAAAAAATACAAATAATAATTTAGACTTCACAGACATATAGAATATTTCATCCATCAGGACTGAATACACTTTCTTCTTGGCAGCCCATGGATACTTCTCTAAAATAGATAATATCTCAGGCCACAAAGCAACTCTTGCAAATACAAAAAACAGAGATAGTACCTTGCATTTTATCAGATCATAATAGAATGAAATTAGAAATCAATGATAAAATAAAGAGTAGAAGCTACTTTAACACCTGAAGACTAAATAACACACTATTGAATTACTTATAAATAGCAGAAGAAATCAGGGATGAAATTAAAAAAATACTTAAGAGGTAAATGAGAATAGCAGCACAACATATCAAAAATATCTGGGAGACTATGAAGACACTGCTAAGAGGAAAGTTCATTGGACTGAGCTCATTTATTAAAAGAATAGAAAGTCAACAAATAATTAATCTAACATTACATCTCAAAGCCCTAGAAAAAGAAGAATAAATCAACACCAAAATCAATAGAAGACAGAAAATCATTAAATCAGAGTGAAAGTCAATGAAGAAAACAAAAGAAACAATCCAAAAATGGATGAAACAAAAAGTTGATTCTTTGGAAAAATAAATAAAATTGGTGAACCCTTAGCCAAGCTAATAAAGAAAAAGAGAAAACTCAAATTACCAAAATTAATAATGAAATGAAAATGGAAATATCACAACAGACACTACTAAAATACAGATGATAATCAGAACCTATTTTGAAAATTTATTCTATAATTTAATAGAAAATCTTGAAGACAGCAATAAATGTCTAGAGACATATGATTTCCAAATTGCATCATGAGTACCTAGAAAATTTAAACAGGTCAATTACAAGCAATGAAATTGAAGACACCATTAAAAGCCTATCAAGAAAGAAAAGCCCAGGACCAGATGGATTCTCAGCCATGTTCTACCAGAACTTCAAAGAATTAACACCAATTCATGTCAAATGATTTCATGAAATAGAAAAGGAGAGAATCCTTCCAAACTCATTTTATGCAGCTAGTATCACCCTGATACCAAAACCAGACAAGGACATATCAGGAAAGAAAACTTCAGACCAATATCCCTGATGAACATAAATGCAAAAATTTTCAATTAAATTGTGGCAAATTGCATACAAAAACGTATTAAAAAGACACTACACCATGATCAAGTGGAGTTCATCCCAGGGATGCAAAGTTGGCTCAACATACAGAAATCAATAAACCTAATTCATCACATTATTAGACATAAAGACAAGAATCACATGATCATCTCAATAGATGCAGAAAAAGCATCTGACAAAATTCAGCATCTATTCCTATTCAAAACACTAGAAAAACTAGGGATAGTAGAAACATACCTCAATACTTTAAAAGCTATATATGCTAAACCCCAGAGCAACATCACTCTCAGTGGAGAAAAAATTGAAAGCATTCCCTCTAAAAATTGGAACAAAACACTTTCACCACTTCCAGGAAACATAGTCCTTGAAACTCTAGGCAAAGCAGTTACAAGAAAGAAATTAAAGGGATACAAATAGGAAAAGAAGAGATCTAATTATCCCTATTTGCTGATGACATGAATCTATATTTAAAAGACACAAAAAACTCCACCAGAAAATTGCTAGACTTAAAAATGAATTCAGCATAGTATCAGGATATAAAATTAACTCCCATAAATCAATTGCATTCCTATACACAGTGATGAATCAACTGAAAGAGAAATTAGGAAAACTACCCATTCAAAATTGCCTCCAAAAAAATTGGAGAATCAAGCTGACAAAAGAGGTGAAAGACCTCTATAATGAAAATTACAGAACACTAAAGAAAGAAATTGGAGAAGACCTTAGAAGATGGAAAGATCTCCCATGTACTTGGATAGGCAGAATTAATATTGGCAAAATGGCCATAAATACAAAGTGCTATATAGATTTAATATAATTCCTATTAAAATTCCAATGATGTTGTTCATAGAAATAGAAAAAACAGTCATGAAATTCATTGGGAAAAATAAGAGGCCAAAGCAATCCTCAACAAAAAAGTGAAGCTTCACAATACCAGAACTTAAATTATACTACAGAGCTATAGTAACAAACAACGAATGGCATGTGTTTGGCACCAAACCAAACATGAAGACCAATGGTACAGAATAGAAGATATAGAGACAAACCCCCATAAATATAGTGATCTCATATCACCATAAACATACACTGGAGAAAGACAGCCTCTTCAACAAATGGTGTTGGGAAAACTGGATATCCACATGGAGCAGATTGAAATTGAACCCTTATCTCTCACTCTTCCCAAAACACAAAGTGGATCATGGACCTGGGCATTAGACCAGAGACCCTGCAACTGCTAGAAGAAAATGTAGGCCCAATTCTCCATCATGTCAGCTTAGGAACCAACTTCCTCAACAAGACTCCTAAAGTGCAAAAAATAAAATCAAGAATCAATAAATGGGATGTTATCAAACTAAAAAACTTCTTCAAAGCAAAGAAACAATGAAAAACATTCTGTAGAGATCCTACGGAATGGGAAAAAAATCTTTGCCACCTGTATATCATACAGAGCATGTATCTCTAGTATATATTAAAAACTCAAAAACTTAACACCAAGAAAACAAACAACCCAATATATAAATAGGCAAGGCAACTGCACAGACACTTCACTGAAAAAGAAATACAAATGCTCAAAAAATTATGAAAAAAATGTTCAATATCTCTAGCAATTAGAGATTGCTACTCAGATTCCAATTCACTCTAATCAGAATGGCCATTATCAAGAATAAAAGTAACAATAAATGTTGGCGAGGATATGGGGGAAAAGATTCAATCATACATTGTTAGTGGGACTGCAAATTGGTGCAACTACTCTATAAAAAGTATGGGGATTCCTCAGAAAACTTGGAATAGAACCACCATTTGACCCACTAATCTCACTCCTCAATATATACCAAAGGGAGTTAAAAATCAGCAAACTACAGTGATGCAGCCACATTAATGTTTACAGCAGCTCAATTTACAATAGTGAAGCTATAGAACCAATCTACATGCCCTTCAACAATGAATGAATAAAGAAAATTTGGTATATGTATACCATGAAATATTATTCAGCCATAAAGAAGAATAAAACTATGGTATCTGCCAGTAAGTGCATAGAACTGGAGAATATCATGCTAAGCCAATTCCAAAAAACCAAAGTCAGAATGTTCTCTCTGATATGTGGTTGCTAACACACAATAAGGGGATGGGGGAGGAAATAACAGAAGTTCATTGAATTAAACAAAGGAGAGTGAAAGGAAAGGAGGAAGAATGGGAATAGGACAGACAGTAGAATGAACTGGACATAACTTTCCTATGTTCATATATGAATACACAACCAGTGTAACTCCACATCATATACAATCACAAGAATGGGATTCTAAGTTATACTCCATGAATGTATAATATAACAAAATACATTCTACTGTCATTTATATCTAAACAGAACAAATTTTAAATTTTTTTAAAAAGAGGTACCCTTCTGATTACTAGGGTCTGGAATGCTGAGGTCAGGGTAGAAGTGTAGAAGAGGGTGAATGGATATGGTAAATGCACAATGTATGTATGTATGGAAATATCACAGGGAATTCCACTAAAATATAAATTAATATGTATTCATAATTATAGTAATTGAAAACAGGTGTTATTCTTACACTTTAAGGGAAGTATCATAGTTTTCAATTTTTTGGAAAATATTTTTATTATGCTGGGTATAGTATCTAGATCTTCACACATGCTAGGTAAGCATTCTACCACTGAGGCACACAAGTCAAAACATCCTTCTCTCTGAAGACACAGGATCACAGAAAGACTCTTAACCAACAGCAAGTTGCTCTTAGGTTAATATCATTAGCTCATGCTTTTCTTTTTAATCCAGTCATACCTCTCCACAGCCATCCACTTCTTCATCAAACCTCGCACAGATTTACTGACTGATTTGGGTCTATATTTTCTTATAAAGTTGTCATGTCACATAAAACATTTTAAATATATCTGTATTAATTTGTTAATCCGTCATTTACTTGACAGATAGTGATTTGTCTATCATGTAGAAGACAGACATAACATGGCTGGGGCCTCAGCCATGACATGTCTGGGCCTCAGCCATGAACCTTGTGATAGAAAGGAAAATATTTTTCCTTGCCTAAAAAACAGGCAATAAAAGTAAATACATTCAATTTACAGTAAGAAGTTTTATTCCCAAGTTCATACATAACATTCCTTTTAAAAGTATAAATAAATGTACTTGTGCAAGTTGTCATTCATGGAGGGAGGAAGAAAAATTGGAGACAAAGTAAATGAAGAGATACTTCTATTCTGATTGATTTATATCCCTCTTTGAATTGTCTTATTTTTAAGCTCCCATTTTAACACTCACTTAAAACATTAAATACCAGATATATATTTGTTCCTTGAGAGAGAGAAAAATAATCTGATTATCTTTTTGTTTAATTGAAGAGCAGGAGAAAACAGACATTATTTTGAAGTAGCATTCCAGGAATGTGTAAGAAGTAATTCAATCTTTTGAGACAGGAAACCAGTCATTCAGGGAAAAATCTTCCCTACTACTCTTTTAAAACAAATTCTCTAAATGTAAAAGATGGTAAACATATTTATTATTCCTTGCTTTCTAGCTAAACTCTGGTAACTATCTGCCTAGAAAAAAATAATGTAATAATTACAACAAATTCACTATAGTAATTAAAACTATCACTAATAAATTAATGTTATATAACACATATACAACCTAAATATAAAAATAAATGGATTAAGCAACAAAAATTTTAAACAATGTTCATTAAGATCTTGTTACTATTCTAATTTAAATAGCACCTAAGTTTTAAATTAATTTGCCACATGCTTTGAGTTCTAAAATTGCAAATTAATTAGAAAGCCAAAAATTATTATGGTCACATTAAGGTTTAAACAAAACGCTACTGGAAAGACTTACCAGGTGTTTTCTTCTTACAAGATATCTGATTTACCATATATAGGTTAAGGAGGTCTAAACTGGCAGTGGAATTTTTTGCAGGGGACAAAACTCCCAGTAATTTCATTTTTGATTTTAACCTGTTCCTTTCAAAGTATTCCTAAAATAATTTAAAATGTTAAAAATTAATGCATCAACCAGTTAATTTAAGGCAGAACCATAAGTCATAAATGCACTAATGGTATTAAATCATTGACTTGATATTTGTATGTTTTTGTGACACCACCTTTATATGTCTACATATGAATTAAAATCAATTATAATAACTTGTAACTTGCTTTAAAACTCTAAATTTCACAGCATTTAATAAAGTTTCTCTTGGATTTTTTAATTAGTTTTTTATTATAACATATGATATTTTAAAATGGAATTTTTTTAAAAAAGTATTCCCAAGTATCAAAAGATTAAAAATTATCTATATGCATAATATAATGAAAACATCTGGCCAGGTACAATGACATACGCCTGTAATCCCAGCAGTTTGGGAGGCTGAAGCTGAAGGATCACGAATTCAAAGCCAGCCTCAGCAATTTAGCAAGGCCCTAAGCAACTCAGTGAGACCCTGTCTCTACATAAAATTGAAAAAAAGGGCTGAGGATGTGGTTCAGTGGTTAAATGCCCCTGGGTTCAATCCCTGGTACAAAAAACAAACAAACAAACAAACAAAAAAAAATCCAACAGGTTAAAAACCTGTTCTTCTACAAAGTATGCTATCCTATAAATATAAAAATGCCTTAAAGGTATGTTGCAGCTAAGTGTCATTAAAAGTCAGCAGAAATGAGAAGGAAGAAAACTATGTAAAAAATATCTGCAATCAATGCCAATTTAGTTCACTGTATTATCCCTCCTTTATTCCTAAAAGGTTGCTTTTTAAAAAAAAAAAAGACAGATCTGCACATAATTATCATTCTTCATTCAGCTTTTATTTTCTTCCTGCTTGAACTATAATTATTCTTCCTTTTTTTTTCAAATTACGTCTTTAATTGACCAAATTCAAAAACACTTGATTTGTGTAATATTAACTGAGCAAATATGTGCTAGACACTGTAACAAATTGTCTTTAAACATTTTCTATTCCATCAAATAATTCATAATACAATACCATAACTTCCTTAACATGTGAGTAGTTAGAAGGAAAAAGTCTAAGACAGGAAAAATTTTAACATAAGAGCCATATTTCCAAATAATTATATATCATATTTTCAAGAGGGTAAGGCTCATTCACATTAACTTCTTGGAATACTGTCAATTACAACCAACTTTAAAGGTTTTAAAAAACTTGTAAAAACTATAAAAGACTTGCCAACTATCAAACATAATAGTAAATGTTCTCTTATACAAAATATATCATAGATAAAGGGTATGCATACATATTTCATTTGAGTAATGTACAACCCTAAATTTGACTAAAATGTCTTTTAAATGATCATAGTATAATTCAGTAATAAAATAGTAGAAACCTTAGGATGAAAATATTTCTGTCCTTAAAAAAACTGCTGGGCATTGTAGCACACACACACATAATCCTAGCAGCTCAGGAGGCTGAGGCAGGAGGATTGCAATTTCCAAGCCATCCCCAACAATTTAGTGAAATCCTGGCTCAAAATAAAAAAATAAATAAATAAAGAGGGTTGGAAATGTGGCTCAGTGGTTTAGAGTCCCTGGATTCTATCACTGGACCAAAAAAAAAAAATATATACCTATCAATGCTAGATCTTATACTTGATGGTGTACTGGAATTAAAAATATTATTTCTTGAGGCACTGTATTTTATGATAGATGAAATCATAGGAATCAGAGACACAATTGCAACTGAGTATGACAGGGGATGATATAAAATACTGTGGAAGGTTAATGTAATGGGGGAGGATGGGCAGATGGAGGGCAGGAGGACTAGGATTTTTTTAGGAAATGATTTCTAAGATTGATGCATGAGTCAGAGTTAGCCAAAGGGAGTAGAAATTAAAGGTTCCAAGAATAAGGGGAAACTACAAAGACTATCTGCAAAGTGAGTAGCCTTGATTCCAGGAAACATCCCAAGAGAGGTTTATCCCTGCTCAAGCTATCATACTACCCATAATCTCTGTTCCTAGAAAGGACAAGAATATGTCACTGATTTACCTGATATGACCAGGCTCAATTTTTCTATCAAGTCTCACTTGGTAGAAAAAAACTAGAAAACAATCTGAATAAGAAAACTTTCAGAAAATCATAAATCAAATTTTAACTTAAAGCCATTAAAAAAGGAATAACCAGAGAGGCAGAAATAAAATCCAGAGAATGAGTCAAAGAAAGCATGGGATAAGTTTGTTTAAAAATAAAGGAAATGGCAGGCTACATTGGAAATATCATATTAAAGTAAGTTGGACTGAAAAACATTCTTTTGATTCAACAATAGAAGGTTCATTGTTGACATTAACAAGAATTGTACAGTGCAGCAGACTGAGAACTAAATGTGAAGTGAGAGTGAAGGGCCACAGAAGAAAAGGGAAAGGATCCAAAGAGGGCAACTATGCTGCCTTCACTGTCATTCCTTTTCATTTAAATATTACTACCTTTGACATATTAGTACACTAGGTTTTTGTTCCTTTGTTTTTACTCCTTTGGATTTTTTGTGAAAGGAATCTTTTTGCTTGTCTTCTTCGGTGAGTGGTTCTTTTGCTCAACATTATGTCCTTGAGATTGATCTACCTAATTACATGAAGTCGATACATACCATTACTTGAATATACCACAATCTGTTTGATAATTCTACTACTAACGGGTGTTTAGGTTATTCCCCTCTCTTATTCCTCTCTCTAGATGCACTTCTTTTTTCTCCTTCTTGTTTCTTTTTGTTTGCTATTTTAACAATAAAAGTGACCCAAACAATCTTATACATTATCTCTAAGTACACATGTATAAGAGTTTCTTTCAGACATATACCACTCAGTACATACATGCTCAACTTTATAACACAATCAGTAAAATAAAAAAGGACAAGTTAAAGCATGACAAAGGACAAGAGACCATTATAGTACTTTAGGCAGTAAATGATGATGTGAATTATAGTGCTAACACTATAATAGTGAGAAGAGGTCAGACTTGAAATATATTTTAGAACTAGAAGGACATAAATAATCAACAATAATCTTTAAATCTCTGTCTGAGAAAAAGTATTTAAACAAACTATCTACAAGGATGAAGACTAAAGAAAGATGATTGATTTGATTCACTTAGGTGAATTTATTAATAGTAGAAAATATTTCAGAAGGTCACGATTCACATAAGGATAACACAAGTAAAAATATATCTTCCTCACCTTTTGTTTTCTCCTCTCCTGCTTGATCAGAACCCTGGTTCTAAAAATGGAAGAAGACAGAAGATACAGTGATTAAAGAAATGACTTTAAAGACAATTGCCACCAGGTGTGGTGGTGCATGCATGTAATTCCAGCAGCTTGAGAGGCTGAGGCACAAGGATAATGAATTCAAAGCTAGCATCAGCAAAAGCAAAGCACTAAGCAACTCGGTGAGATCCTGTCTCTACACACTTTATGTATCTAATAAAAATGATCCATGCCATCAGATATAACTTTCCTATGTTCACATACAAATATATGACCAGTGAAACTCCATATCATGTACAACCATGAGCATGGAATCCTAATAAGTTACACTCCATGTATGTATAGTATGTCAAACTGCACTCTACTGTCATGTTATCTTAAAAGAATAAAAAATGATTCATACAAAAAAATTGCACATAATCCAAAAAATTTGCCAGTGAATCATCAAGTCATTTGCATTCTACATTGACTATTACAATATTATGTAGCCAATTTACCAAAATTAACTTTAAAAGGTTACTTTGATCTTATGCAAATGCTCTCCAACATATTTTACTACATGGGAAAGCACTCTAAAACATATATCTGATTATCACTTAAGAATAGAACTTCCATAGAATGGTCCGAATTTAGTTTTCAACTCTTGTTTTTTGGTTATCCACTTCATGAACTCATTCCCAAAGTAAAATCTATATATAGTACTCTTTTCCATGTTAAGATACTTTCTTCATCATATATTCATATTTAAAACTTTCAATACTTTCAAGACTCCATTCATAGACCAATCTATTAATGAAATCTATCTGTACTTTATAAAATAACTTTTATTAGAGTTTCTCTAATTTTTGTCTTAATATTTGAAAGATCAGAGACTTAGTGGTAGGAAGAAGGGTGAGAATAAGGATAATCCTTTTTAAACTAATGACTATTTTATCCTGGAAAAAATTTTATTTTTTACAGTACTGGAACTTGAACCCAATGGTACTCTACCATTGGTTACAGTCACAGGTCTTTTATTTTTTTATTTTGAGACAGTCTTAAGTTGCAGAGACTGTCCCCTTATGATACTTCTGCCTCAGCTTCCCAAGTATCTGGGATTATAGGTGTGTACCATGACACCCAGCCTGGAAAGTGGATTTTTAAAGAAATACATTACAATCATCTTGTTCAATGAAAGTCTGAATGAACAATATTAGCTATCATTATAGCTATGTACTTTAAAGAAAATCTGGAGGTTTTTCTCATAGAACACTCTACAAGTAATTCATTCTGTATAGTAGGAATATAAATATTTGTTATTCTTTGCTAAGGAAAAAAATGAGAGAAGTGTAAAGGGTTAAGGGAAGGAAAATTAGAAAAAAAGGGGGGGGAGAAAGAAAAAAAGAGAGATGGAAGGGAACCATACTGACAACAGAATTGTGAACTTCTGACCTTTGATAATCTTTCTAGTAAGAAAACATTTAAAAGAAAATGCTGGGCTGGGGTTATGGCTCAGTGGTAGAACATTTGCCTAGCATGTGTGAGGAACTGGAGTCAATTCTCAGCACTGCATATAAGTGAATAAAATAAAGATTCATCAACATCTTTAAAAAATAAAATGCTAAAAAATCCTTAAAAAATCCAAGATATGGAGTCAACCTGGGTACCCATCAATAGATGAATTGGTTAAATAAAAAAAAGTGGTGTATGCATACATTCAGCCATTAAAAGGAACATAATCATGTTATTTTTAGGAAAAT